TGTGGCTCCAGGGATCAACTCTCTACTGCCCCCAGTCACCGTAGCCGAAAACATCAATACCTTGCCAGTTCACAGAATCATGGGAGTCGACGCTGGAAGGCACAGCCAAGGTCCTCTAGTGCCCAGTCAGGAAGCTACTTTATAGCATCCCCCGCAAGGGGTCAACCAGTTTCTAATGAAGATTTTTGCTGCCTCGCCAGACGGCTGGTTTCCGTTTTGAGACAGCTCTAATTGATAGGCAATGTTAGCTGCTCTCTCGAGCTTAAATCTGCCTCAGCCCACCTTCCATCCACCGTTCCTGGTTCTGCCTTTTGAAGCCAGGCAGAGCAAAGCTGGCCCTTCCTCTCTGGGACAGTCCTTCCAGGGTGGCTCTCTTGTCCTCTCTTCTCTAGGCTAAATAATAAAATAATAGCTAGCATTTATACAGCCCTCTAAGGTTTGTCTGTTTTTGTTATTAACATAAATAATGACCATTAGTAACTATTAATAGCAGTAATTGCTATCTATAATAATTATGGGCAGCTAGCTGGGGCAGGTGGAGCGTGGGGGGTGTTCAGGAGGACCGGCACCTTTGGTATGAGGGCTGCTGAGCCATTTCAGGGCCGTTCATCCACCTTTGGTGTCTACACAATTCACTCACTTCTCACCTGCGTTTCCAAGAAGCTAGCATGTGTAGAGGCCACATCCTGGTAAACTGTCTCAGCAGATGGGCTAAACCAGGTCGAGGGCGACCTGTAGTCCTCAGCCCTGTCGATGAGCTAGGGGGTTGTCTACCCGAGCGTGTGAAGACTCCCCAGCCCGCCCCCCCCGCCCTGGTGGAATGGGCAGCGGAGGACAATTTGTTCCCACAGCCATGAGGCGGCTGAAGCAGGCGCTGTGGAGCGCTTGCGATTTGTCCTTCGCTCTCGAAGAGGACGATGACGTCAGGGAGGTGATGCCGCCACATGCAGGTGAATTGGATTTAAGCGAGGAGGGCCATGCAGAGTCACCAGCCTCACTTTGTCCTCTGGCGCCGTCTGGCTCCATGGCCAGACGTGGATCAGGACGACCGGAGATGGCCCTGTGGAGCGCCTCTGAAGACACCAAGGTCACAGGCTGCGTCCTGGGCCCTCGCCAGTCATGCCGACTTTTGTTTTGCCGCTGGACTGTGACGACTCTGGAAGAAAGGGCGATGCTGATGACGCTGCGCAGCTCTGTTGTGGCTGCGTCATGTTCAGTTCTGCCTGACTCTCCGTGACCCCATGTGGGATCTTCTTGGCAGCGACACTGGAACGGTGTGTCGTTTCCTTCTCCAGTTTGTTTTACAGATGAGGAACTGCGGCAAACAAGGGGAAGTGACTTGCCCAAGGTCACCCAGCTAGTAAGTGTCTGAGGCCGGATTTGAACTCAGGACTCCAGGCCTGGTGCTTTATCCACTTTGCCACCCAGCTACCCTAGCTGTGCAACTGAGCTTTACTTAAATCCAATTCATGGGGAGTCAAGACATCACCCCATGACGTCATCGGTCCTCTTCAAAAATGAAGGTCAGGCAACAACATCACCACCACCTTACATAGTTCTTTAGGGTTTCTCTGTTTTCATTATTAACACAAAGAGTTACCGTGGGTAATTATTAATAGCAATTAACAGCGCTAGGGGTAGGATGCCATAGTGCACAGAACACAGACTCATCTTCCTGAGTTCAAATCTGGCCTTGAACACTTACTAGCTGGATGACCCTGGGCAGGTCATTTCACCCTGTTTGCCTCAGTTTCCTCATCTGTAAAATGAGCTGGAGGAGCGAATGGCAAAGCACTCCAGTATCTTTGCCAAGAAAACCCCAAATGGGGTAGTGAAAAATGACTGAACATACTAATTATTCATATTACTATCAGCAAGCACTTATATAACACTTTAAGGTTTGCCTCTTTTTATTATTAACACAAATAATTGTCATTAGTAATTCTTAATCATAATAATTGTTCATATTAATATCAGCTAACGCTCATATAGCACTTTAAAGTTTACAAAGGGCTTTGCATATTATCTCATTTAATATTATCATTAATATTATTAGCAACCCTCTTTTGGACGGGCCCCGGCTTGCCCATGGACGTTCTAAGACGCAGCATCTAGAACTGGGCACAATATTCTAGGCCGGGCCTGATCAGGGCACAAGAGGATAGTATGATGAACCCCCTCTCCCAGACACCTCGGGGATGAGATTAATGTGTCCGGGGCTAGTCTCAGCCTTGACATTGCCAACCTCTTGGCCCCCCGGTGCCTCTCTATAGCAGGTAGACACATACTTTGTGCAGGCTACAGGCAGAGGCTAAATACCTTTGTTGGGTGTGAGCTGGTCCCTTGGGCACAAGAGGAAAAGGAATGGATTTGGAGTCAAAGGTTTTCCTTGGGGGTTGGCCACTGTGTGACCTTGGTCAAGTCCTTCCTCTCTCTAGATCTCAGTTTTTCCTCATAGAATGAATGAATGTTTACTAAGTGTTTACTGTGTGTTAAGGGCTGGAGATACAAATTGAAAAGTAAGACAGGCCGTGCCCTACACAATGAAAAGGTTGGACTAGATGACCTGAAAGGCCCCTGTCAGTGGTTCTGGGAAGGTAGTCTGTTTCTAGCAGGGCCCTGCTTCTTAGAATATACATATTAGAACAATCTGACAGCATCTACCCAGGCTCCTAGTAGAAGAGATTTGACTACAGCCCATAAACTCATGAAAGGATCCAGGAGGCCCATTCTTCACTTCCAGGACTCCATGGGAGCCAGAAGAAAGTGGTTTTAGGCCAATACAGGAAGTCACATTTCACATAACAGGCAGCAAACTTGGAGAACTATTTTTAATTTCATAAATAAAAATAGATTCAAAGAGACTTGAAGAAGAAGGAGAAAGAAGAGATGAGAGAGTGAGATGTGGAGAGAGGTAGAGAAATGGGCAGGAGGAGAGAATGAGAAAGAGGTAGGAGGATGGGAGGAAGGGAATGAGAGGAAAGGACAAGGGAGAGAGAATGAGGAAGAGAAAAATGGAGGAGAGGGGGTAAAAGGGGAGTGAGGAGAGCATAAGGAGGAAGAGAGAGGAAGAGGAAGAAAAGCAGAGTAGAGAGAAGGAGGAGGGAAGAGAAGGGGGAAGGATGAAGGAGAGAAAGGAGGGAGGAGATCATAAGAGGGAGGAAGAGAAGAGGAAGGGAGAGAAAGAGAGAAGAAGGACAGGAGCCAAGGACACATAATACGATCAGGATGCTGCTGGGAGCAAACAGCCCAGCCCAGCCCCGCCTGGAGGAGCTCTAAGCACACCCAAATTCCAGGGCTGGAAGGAAACCCAATCAGAGCCAGACCTTCCTGGTCAGCTGAAGGTGGCAGGCAGAGGTTGCCCTGGAATGGCCCTGGCCAGGGGACAGTGTGCCTCACGGGCACTGCCTGGAAGGGGCTTTCCCTGGGGTTTTGGATAAGGATGAGGAATACCCATGTTAGGTTCTGGCCCCTCTGGCTGTCATTTGGACAGAATGACAAATGCGGAGGAACATGGGACAGAACTAGAAGGCTCAGGTCCCATTTTCATCTTCCAATGTGAGGGATCTTGAGAGGTTTTCTTATCTGAAAAGTGTGATAATAATACCTTTGGGACCTATCTCAGAGGGGTGTGATGAGGCTCATATGAGATAATGGTCATAAAAAAGATTCGTTAACCTGAAAGTGTGACATAAATGCCATCTCTTCTTTGAGATCCAGATTAAGTGGCACTTCTCCTAGGGAGGCCACTATGATCACCCTGGCCTCCAAGGATTTCTCCCTCCTTTGAACTCCCATAGCTCTTACTGTCTGAACTGCTTCTCAACTCACAGACATTTGGAGCAATAAGGTACCTGAGAGCCTGAGCTAATGTTTCTCCTTCCCCAGATCTTCACGAGTTCCAGTCTTCCCTCCCCATCTACAGTAGTAGTGCCTTAAAGAGAGGGACCAAGTCCTGTGCCTCTGTTTCCCTTACAGTCTGGCATAGTGCTCAGTAGAAGTATATGATCACTGAAATCCCTTCCAAACTTAAGAATCTGTGATGCTGTGAATTATTTCATCCATCCATCCAACCATCCATCCATCCAAATATCCATCTATCCATCCATCCATCCATCCATCCATCTATCCATCCAAACATCCATCCATCCATCCATCCATCCATCCATTCATCTATCCATCCATCCATCCATCCATCCATCCATCCATCCAAACATCCATCCATCCATCCATCCATCCATCCATCCATCCATCCATCCATCCATCCATCCAAATATCCATCTATCCATCCATCCATCCAAATATCCATCTATCCATCCAAACATCCATCCAAACATCCATCCATCCATCCATCCATCCATCCATCCATCCATCCATCTATTCATCTATCCATCCATCTATCCATCCATCCATCCCTCCAACCTTCCATCATCCATCCATCCATCCAAATATCCATCCATCCATCCATCCATCCAACATCCATCCATCCATCCATCCATCCATCCATCCATCCATCCAAACATCCATCCATCCATCCATCTATCCATCCATCTATCCATCCATCCATTCATCCATCCAAACTTCCATTATCCATCCATCCATCCATCCATCCAAACATCCATCCATCCATTCATCTATCCATCCATCCATCCATCCATCCAACCATCCGTCCATCCAACCATCCATCCAATTCCTGGTGTTTAGAACTCGGTTTCTTCATTTGTAAAATGGGGTTGGTAACCCCTGGACCACCTTCTGGGGCTGTGGGAGGCTCTTGGCACCTGGGCTACCAGAGGTCAGGAGTGTTATCGACATGAGCATCAATTAAGGGATTTCAGCATGGTCTCCTATACCTTGCACTCCTCCTTGGCCTCTTGACCTGTTCGTCCAAATGAGTCCATTTTGAAGTCAGATGACCTCAGGGACACATCCAACTTTGACCTTCTCTCATCTCCACCCCTCCCACCCTTAATAAGCAAACAGGAGACCTAGTCTTTGGGAGGATAGATATTTATTTATAATACAAAAAGTAGGGGTTCCTCGAACCTTCATTAGAATAAAAAACATTAAAAACCTTTTTTGGGGAGAGGTGGGAAAAACAAGCCTCCCCCCATTCCCAGGAAGTGGAGGTGTCTGGCCACTGTTGGTTCAGGTGACACAGAGCAGGGGAGCCTGCTGGGTTAGCACCATTGTGGGTGAGTGAGTGAGCGAGCAGAGGGTTGAGATGAGGGGGACGCCCTTGGTCTCTGTGGGGAACGCTCTCCCCAGGGAAGTGGGTTATGAGGTAAGGCCACATCCTTCTCAGCTGTGGAATGGTTCGCCCTGGGGGCCTGCTTTTAAAATAATAATAATAATTACCATAATATTATTAAAAATAACAATATTTGTAACAATATCAAGTCTTCCCTGGGTTGTGATGAGCACCGGAAGTCCCTCCTTCCAAGGCAGGCCTCCATGCTGCCCCTAGAAGTGGGCAGAGGCCCACGGGGAGGGAACAGCTGCTTCCTCAGATCCGTGGAAGATTCCTCCAAGGGAAGGGGTGGGCAGCCAGCTCACCGACGTGACACCCGCTCATTGCCCCGGGCCCAGGCGCCATGACTGTCCTGGCTGCAGGTCTTACAGCATTGGACCCTGACAGTGGGTAGGTGGCACCTGCCCAGGAGGTGAAGGGTCTCACAGAAGCTGAAAGTGAGACGGTCCCGGTCACAGACAAGACCTGTGGGGGCAACAGGGAGAGCGCAGGTGAATGGGGGGCCACTAGGTGAGAGATACACCTGGCCTGATGCAGAATCACAAAGGATTAGCGCATGTCTCGCACACTCAGGTGCAGACTTGGCATGGCCACGCTCACTCATGCCATCTCCCCAGGTGCAGACAGGCCTTGTGGCTCGGGCAGAGCAAGATTTCTTATTTAGTTCACCTGAGGCATGGAAAGTTCATAGACATATTTTTGGTCTGACCACATGACTCCCTTACTCAATAACTTTTACTTGTTCTCTATTAACTGGAGAACCATGTAATCTTGGTTCTGCTTTTCAAGCTTCCCATAATGTTGCATACGATTCCCCTGCCCACACGACCCTCTGGCTATTGCTCGTACACAATACTTCATCTCCTATCTCCCTGACTTTGCACCAGCTGTGTCCCATGCCGGTAATGCCGTCCCACTTCATCTCTGTCTGCTAGGATGTCGTGTTTCCTCAAAACTCCATTCAGGTGTCACCTTCTACATGAAGCCTTTCCTGGTTCCCCCAGCTACTAGTGAGTGCCCCACACCATTTACTTTGTATTCGCTGTGTGTGTATATGTACACACACACACACACACACACACACATATAAATAATTCATATGTTGGATCCACAATAGAACACAAGATCCTTGAAGGCAGGGGCTGTTTGATTCTTGTCTTTGTATTACCAGCAGGGTGCCTGGCACGCAGTAGGCCTTTAGGAAATACTTGTTTATTGTTCAGTTGCTCTGGATCATTGAATGAGCTGGGAGCTGGCTTGTCTGTGTTCTGCTGCTGATTCTATGATTCCTCTGTTCCACATCCAGGACAGGCCTGTCTAGCAGAAGGAGTGCTAGGCTCCAAGTTGGGGAACACATGCCCGCCCACGTGCCATGGATCAGCTTGGAGACCAATTGTCCAACTCTTCTGGGCCTGATTCGCTACATGTTTTAAGGATGGATGAGAGAAGGGCTGAGAGGTTCTCTGCACCCAGGCCGTGGGAGGGTGGTGAGTGAGGATGGAGGGGGATTTCAGTGGGGCCTCCTGGGGCTGTGCCCACCCTTGTCCTTCCCCACCCCATCCCTCTCTAGTTCCTGATCCAACAGGGAGAGTCAGAGCTGCCTCCAAGAACTCAAGGAGGATATGAGATAATGAAGAAGAGACGAATTGGGGAAGAATTGGGCAGGAATGGAGCCTGGGACTCCGACCACCTCAGTCTACCACAGCCACGGGGCTGCCCTGCTCAGGTCTCCCTGGGCTCCTGTGCAAAGGGGCAGGATGGGGTTGCAACTCACCCACATAAGAGTTTCAGGAGAAGGTGGGAGAGAAGGAGAGAATTACGGGGGCTTCTGATGCAAGAAGCCTGAAGCTATTGTTTTCCTCACAATGACTGTGAGATAGGTAGAAGAGATATTATTGTCCCATTTTACAGATGGGGAAGCTGAGGTCTGAGCCTCTGTTTGCCTCAGTTTCTTCATCTGTAAAATGAGGGTAGTAATAGCATCCACCTCCCAGGGGTATGAGGAGGATAAAGGGAGATGACGTGTGCAAAGTACTTTGTCGCTATATGATGCTAGCTATTATTAGAGGCATCTAGGTGGTGCAGTGGAGAGAGTGTTGGTCCTAGAGACCTGACAGACCTGAACGCAAATCTAGCCTCAGATATCTAGTGGTTATTTGGTCCTGGGCAACTCAGGGCCCTCTCTGAGCCTCAGTTTCTTCATCTGCAAAATGGGAAGAAGAAGAAGAATAGCACCCACCTCTGAGGGTTGTGAGGATACAATGAGGTGATATTTGTAGTTCTTTGCAAACACTCAAGCACTACAGAAATGCTAGTCATTGTTGTTGTTGTTGTTGTTATTATTATTATTATTATCATTATTATAATTAAGTGAAGGCCCCTCCTTTCTCTCTCCTCATCCACGGCCAGATTTCTGGGCAGCACAGTCACAAACTCTTGGTCCTTTATCCCCCACCCAAACATGCAAAGAGGAGTGAAAAAGCCCAGGACTTGGAGAAGACCAAGGCCACTGTCCAGGAGACTGAAATCCTACACTCTGCAGTCTGGGAAATGGGTGACCTGCAGCTCATCTCAATGTCTTCCATCAGACTGTTTCTCCTACAACTTTTCAGTAACATAGTGACTAAGGGCTGTAGAGGGGCAGCCTGGTGGTGCACTGGGCCTGGAGTCAGGAAGACCTGAGTTCAAATTTGGCCTCAGACACGTATCTCTGTGACTCTGGGCAAGTCACTTTACCCTGTTTGCCTCAGTTTCCTCACCTGTACAATGGGGACACACTGGAGAAGCCAAGAAAATCCCATGGACAAAAAGTCCTTGAGGTCATATAGAGCCAGACACAACTAAATAACAAGAACAAAAAAGAGACATGAGGTATATTCTAGACTGAGTCCTCTTTTTTTTTTTTTAAACCATTTCTAAAAGCCTTTGTCAAGCCTCAAAATGAAGACAAAACTGATAGGCAGTGTGGTGTGGTAGATGGTGCACTGGGCCCAAGTTCTGATTCTGACACTCACTTGCTGTGTGACCTTGAGCAAATCTCTTGCCCTCTCTTAGGTTTCCTCCTCAGGAAAATGACGCGGCAGGACTGATTGTCTCTTAGGTCCTGGGACATCCAGTGCTGCTCATCTGTGAGTCTTTTCCTTTGCTGAAGATGGAAAATAAAACCCTGCTTCCCCTGCTCCCAGGGTCCGTCCCTTGGTGTCTGCCTTGTTTGTCCACACGGGCTTTTCTTGGCAGTGATGCAGCCCCAGCTGTGGGGAGCGATGACACATCTGGAAAAGCCCCTGTTGTTGCCAGGCCTGACACACCTCGTCTGGGGCTCAGAGTCCTGGCTGTGCTTCGGGGTGAGAAAGAGCCCGGAGCGGCATTTCTCATCCCAACCACTTCCAGATGTTGTCATCACAACAACGTGCCCCACCCCCCCACCCAAGAGGGTGTGAGTGTGTGTGTGTGTGTGTGTGTGTGTGCACGAGTGTGTATGTGCATGCATGTGTGTATGTGTGTGCACGTGTGTATGTGTGACTGTGTTTGTATGTGTGTGGGGGGGTGAGTATATGTGTGTGTGTGAATATGTGTGTGTGTGTGTGTGTGTGCCCTCGTGTACGCTCGTGTGCTCCCCGGCATGTGTTTGTGAAGAAGAGGACCAGATTACACATTTATACAGAGCTTTAAAGTCTCCCAAAAGTTTCACACATTATCTCGTCTGATCCTCACAGCAGCTCTGTGGAGGTAGGCACTGTTGGCCCCATTTTACAGAAGAGGAAACTGAGGCTGAGAGAGTTTTAGTGACTTGCCCAGGGTCCCAGTGTCTGGAGCAGGAGTTGAAGTCAGGTCTTCCTGCTTCTAACACTGTTTGAATGTATGGCATGAGACTCTTGCCCTACCAGACCCAGGTTACATGATGCCTAGTTTAAATGTCCTCACTTCTAGACTGTCTCACACCATCTAGAACTTTGGACCACAATCTTACTTTAGCTTGGCCTTCCACAGTCTGACTCCCAGCTACCTCTCCAGCTTTATTTCATACTATCACTTGCTATGTATTAGATTGGATAGAGCCCCTGGCCTGGAATTGGACCTGAGTTCAAATCTGTCCTCAGACATTTATTAGCTGTGTGACCCTAAGCAAGTCACTTAACCTCTGCTTGCCTTAGTTTCCTCAACTGTGAAATGGGGATAAAAATAGCACCTACCTCCAAGGGTTGTTGTGAGGATAAAATGAGACAATAATTGTAAAAGTACTTAATACAGTGCCTGGCATATAGTAAGCATTATATTTTGTCATTATTTTTGGTAATACATCATTGTTATTATTATTATTATATTCTATTATTATGTACTATAATTATAATAATATTATTATAATGTATTCTATATTCTGGAGATATGTTCTATGCTCCAGCCAAAACAGGACTGTATACTCCTAAGCCCTGGGGATACGGTCAGCGGCACTGAAGAAAATATGACCTCAAGCTGATGACTGAAGGCAAAGGCTTCTGCAAAGAAGAAGATGTGAAGAGTGAACAATTGGTTTAGAAGGTGGAGTCTGAGGATGAAGTGTAGAAACCTGGCACATGGCTTAAAAGGCAGGAATGACAGGCTCTCGGCCAGGGATGGAGTGCACCTAAGAGGGGCTGGGCAGACATACTGACTTGGAATCTGGCAAAACTGATCATGAGAACTTGACACGGAAGAGGGTGAGGGAGGAATATCCTCTCCACAAATGTCTATGAGAAGGTAATGCAGACAGTGGTGGTAAAACACAGGAAGAGTGTCAGAGGGCCTGGAATTCACCGGAGACAACACCCTAGAAAAGGGCCAGGAACCAAGCCTGTGGCTAACCACGCTACAAAGAAGTGCACCATGTATGCACATGATAAAGGGGTAGACTGGACGTAGTGGGGCAAATGTGTCTGCTTCTTTAAGGCCCTCTTCATATGGAGCAGTTTAATGACGAAAAAGGCCTTTACGAGACCAGTGGACCTTACTGAGAGGTCTTAAGGTGGGGATTCACATCGAAAGTTAAGGGTGTAACAGAGGCTTGGTGGAAAAGCCGGAACGCACTATGACTCTGGAAAGCTACACCTTATTCAGAACCAATCGATCAGCATTCATTTATTAATAATCACCTATATGTCAGGTGTGAGAGGTAAAAAGACAAAATTGAGAGAGGGAACAGAATACATAAAAGGGTAGAGCAGCATTGGATTTTACAAAGATATGTTTATGTCAGAAATCCCAGAACTGGGGGGGGGGGAGCACAGTGAGAGAATCCAAGGAAGGAGAAACAGAAGGGATGGCATCCCAGAAATATACTACAAAGCATCTGAAAAGGAAGAAGCAACAGCTCAGGAGTTTGTCTGAAAAAGATCTGGGGGTCTTAGAGGACCACAAACTCAAGATGAGTCAACACTTGATATGGTAGCTCAAAAAGATAATTCAACCTTGAACTCTGTTAACAAAGC